GGTGAGATATGGGGAGATAGTATCACAACCGTGAGTACCCTCCAGGTCCTCGACCTCGCGGCACGAGAGATGGGGAGATAGGGGGAGATAGTATCACAACCGTGAGTACCCTCCAGGTCCTCGACCTCGCGGCACGAGAGATGGGGAGATATGGGGAGATAGTATCACAACCGTGAGTACCCTCCAGGTCCTCGACCTCGCGGCACGAGAGATGGGGAGATATGGTGAGATATGGGGAGATAGTATCACAACCGTGAGTACCCTCCAGGTCCTCGACCTCGCGGCACGAGAGATGGGGAGATGTGGGGAGATAGTATCACAACCATGAGTACCCTCCAGGTCCTCGACCTCGCGGCGAGCAAGCGTCGGTCAGCTGTCGTCAAGAAGAGCCTCGCCCATATCTCCCCAGATCTCCCCATATCTCGCCCATATCTCCCCAGATCTCCCCAGATCTCCTCATATCTCCCCATATCTAGCTGTCGTCAAGAACAGCCTCGCCCATATCTCCCCATATCTCCCCAGATCTCCTCATATCTCCCCATATCTAGCTGTCGTCAAGAAGAGCCTCGCCCATATCTCGCCCATCTCTCCCCATATCTCCCCATCTCTCAGGTCAGCTGTCGTCAAGAAGAGCCTCGCCCATATCTCCCCATATCTCCCCATATCTCCCCATCTCTCAGGTCATCTGTTGTCAAGAAGAGCCTCGCGCCGGAGTGGGACGAGACTTTCTCGTGGAACGGGGTCCTCTTCGACCTGCTGCAGGCCGCAATCTCGCCACAATCTCGACACAATCTCCACACAATCTCGCCACAATCTCGCCGCAATCTCCCCACAATCTCGCCACATCTCGCCTCATCTCACCACATCTCGCCTCATCTCACCACATCTCCCCTCACCTCCCCACACCTCCCCACACCTCCCCACATCTACCCACATCTACCCACACCTCCCCACACCTCCCCACACCTCACCATATCTCCCCATATCTCCCCACACCTCCCCACACCTCCCCACACCTCCCCATATCTCACCATATCTCACCATATCTCCCCATATCTCGCGCCGCAGGACGGGCTCGTCGTCTCCCTCTTCGATCGCGACAAGGCCTCCCGCCCACAATCTCCCGCAATCTCCCCCCATCTCCCCCCATCTCCCGCAATCTCCCCCCATCTCCCGCAATCTCCCCCCATCTCCCCCCATCTCCCCCCCTCCACCAAGGTCTCCCGCGACGACTGCCTCTTGGCACTCACTACTACTCATTCATTCATCAACCACGGGGCTCCCCGAGACGACTGGCCTCGGGATGGCTCTTGTGCCCCCTGACCAACTCCTCGAGCGGGAAGAGGTTTGTTTCACCTCCCCCCTTTCTTTTGAAGGGCGTCCCTTATCCCCCCCTTTTTTCCCTGTTTTCCCCAGTTTTTCCCGCC